ACTTTGTGAACCTCCATGTGCAGAGTTCGTGGCAGGCACAGCACTTTGTGAACCTCCATGCGGCTCCGAACCTCGACGGGGAAGCTCCGCGGAACGACGGTTGCGAGACGGTCTCGGGTCATGGTCGGATCATGCTCGGATCATTCTCGGAATCGTCCCTCCATTGTGATTAGAGTTGTCACTTGTTTCTTGAAGTGGAGATTTCGTGGCAGGCACAGCACTTTGTGAACCTCCATGCGCAGATTTCGTGGCAGGCGCAGCACTTTGTGAACCTCCATGTGCAGATTTCGTGGCAGGCGCAGCACTTTGTGAACCTCCATGTGCAGATTTCGTGGCAGGTGCAGCACTTTGTGAAATTTCGTAGCAGGCGCAGCGTTATGTGCACCTCCAAGTGCAGATTTCGTGGCAGGCACAGCACTTTGTGAACCGCTAGGTGCAGATTTCGTGGCAGGCGCAGCACTTTGTGAACCTCGAGGTGCAGATTTCGTGGCAGGCACAGCACTTTGTGAACCTCGAGGTGCAGATTTCATGGCAGGCGCAGCATCTGGGGAGCTGGAAGCTGAGAACTGGCGACTTTGTAGTACAACTTTAGTATGTGGAGTATCTGGGGAGCTGGAAGTTGAGAACTGGCGACTTTCTAGTGCAACTTTAGCGCGGAGCAATCTGTGGAGCTGGAAGCTGAGAACTGGCGACTTTGTAGTACAACTTTAGTACGCGGGGTATCTGGGGAGCTGGAAGATGCAAACTGGCGACTTTCTAGTACAACTTTAGCGCGGAGCAATCTGTGGAGCTGGAAGCTGAGAACTGGCGACTTTGTAGTACAATTTTAGTACGCGGAGTATCTGGGGAGCTGGAAGATGAGAACTGGCGACTTTGTAGTGGAACTTTAGTACGCGGAGCATCTGGGGAGCTGGAAGATGAGAACTGGCGACGTTCTAGTACAACTTTAGCACGCGGAGCAATCTGTGGAGCTGGAAGCTGAGAATTGGCGACTTTGTAGTACAACTTTAGTACGCGGAGTATCTGGGGAGCTGGAAGATGAGAACTGGCGACTTTGTAGTACAACTTTAGTACGCAGCTGAGTCATCTCTATTCTGTATTCTGCAAAAGGCAAGACAGTTGACGGTGGTTGCTTCGCTTTCGCTCCGTTGGTCGGTTCCAACTTGTTTTGGCAAAGAACATCGCAGCTCGGCGAATCAGCCTGCCACATGCCCTTTTCACGAAAGCTAGCGAAGCTAGCTGGAGTTACTCTTGCGACAGCAAGGATTCTTTCGACCGGGTGCAAATCCTAACCCCTGATTTTTCAGGTTGAAGA